ATTCGGCAATGCAATGGAACAATTCATATATTAAGATATTTTCATATCTTATACATTTGTTATGTTTTATAAACGAACACGCTTTTTTCAAAGAGGTGATAAGACCGAAAGAATTCTTGCTGAGTGTTTGAGATATTGCGCAAGCAGCTCGCGTGGATACGCGAAAAATGATTACGCTCTAAACAATACTTAGTCGCTTGTATCGTGCGAGGGAACTTGAGCCGAAGACAAGAATCTTTTTTTCTGCTAACCCGGCACTATATTCACGCTATGCGATAATTAGGAAACGATTAATTTTCTTCCGCGCTACGCAGCTCGCTCTTACAAATAACTTTTGCTACGCCTGCCCTTATCTGACGAACAAAAACATGTTACCTCCATCACAGGGCACGAATCGCCTGCACGTCTAACTTCTCGGGAGAGCCTCATTCAACAACTGCGACTTCCGCTTTTTAGAAAGCAATTTACCGGACAGATAGTCGATACTTTAGAAATTTTTGTGTCTCATGTGTGTGTCACGAACATTTATGATATAATGATGTGAATTACATTTAGCATTTTCAATTTATAATCAGTGACGTTATTGGGGGAAAACTACATGAAATATTTGAACTATTAATTGCTATAATGCACTAAATCAAAATTAAAAAATTCTTAATATTTTTCAAACATCATCCGTAGAATGAGCATTTTCAAGAATCTTTTTTCGTAAATATGAGTTTTCTAAGAATGTTTGCTGTGATTTATTGATTCGCTTAAGTTCTACTTATGTTTATATATATATTATGATTTTTATATGAGATTACTAAACTCATTATGTAAGTATAATATGCTAAAACGTTTTAATTCTATTTTCTGCGAAAACTGATTTACATTACCTTGTCGTTTGATTCCTTCATGTACTTTCGATTTTGCTTGCTTTACAAAAATATCTCTTCGGCTTATCGGACATAAAAGGATCTCTGTACAATACACGCGATCCCGCATTGGTACACGAAGCGACACAAAAAATGTTCGCATTCCACAGCACATTTCCGACGAGCGTAGCGGAACGTCGGCGGGAACGACGTGAAAAATAATACCTCCCCTGATTTCAAGCCCTGCACGCATATAGGTGTAGTCTCTCCTATCTCACGCGTAACTCGCTTTCTCTTCGCTCTCTACGCTTAGCGTGTTTTACGCTCGCTTGCTCATTATTACGCACCGCGTTCTCGCACGGCAGCGTGATTTATGTCCGAAATAGGCCCGCCAGCCGAAACGCCTGGGAATGAGTCAGTACCACTTAAGACTATAGATCTCTAGCATATAGTCCGATGAATTGCCCGTCTAGTATAAATAAAGCTGACGAATGAAAATATTTCTTCTACTACACAAGTCGGAATTTTTCAAATTATTCGTTTTAATAGGCGTTATCAAAATTTAAAGCGTAAAAAAGTGGCACATGGTAAGATTTATATACATACGTACATACATACATATATATATATATATAATAAGATTACAAATGTGTGTGTGAAGATCAAATTAATCATAAACTAGTTTATAAATACTGATTATAATTTGAAATATAAGAATTTATTAAAGAGAGATATATATTTCATATATTCTTTTCATTAAGACTACGCAATACTTTCGTTCTTTAACTTTGATAAAAATGACATTGCTCCATTTTCAAAGTATTCAAATAAACATCGACAAAATTTTATCTCACGGAACCATTCCATTTGCATTCCATTTTTATAGTATCGAGAAGATACAGTTTAAAAATTTCCAAGCAATTTGGATGCGAGTCTTGGTTCGGCAACATTTCGAAATTAGTATGGCGGAACGATATCTCGATACTATATGGAGAAACGATTGAAACAAACGGGAGAATTTCGGTGCGTCGATGTGTTTGTTGGAACGTGCCCAAAGTTTCTCCAAGTCGGGGCGCCGAGATTCCCCCTTCCTTTCGGCGTCGCGATGCCGAATGGCATTGTGCGCGTCCGAGGCTACCAAAGAGTGCAGCAGCACGGAATGACGACGGGTTCTTTGATCCTCCCTCGAGAAGGCTGCATGCCGCCTAACGGGATTACCCCGCCCCGCGTAATTGCTCGTGAATGCGCAGATATACTCGCGACAATGGGTGCACGTTCGTCGATTCGAGGTGATGTTAGACGAATCACTGTACAGTATGCAAAATCGATCTATAAAAACAATACTTAAAAGAATTTTTGCATGGATCACTTTCTTGATTTTCAACAGTGTCTATATAAGTGATATAGATGTATCTCTTGTGCATTAAATTTTCCAAATTGTTTTGCGAATTTAAAGTTTCTCTATGTGTGTGTATGTATTTTCAAAAATTATATTTTATTATGTGTAAATATATATCGTTTACTCTTTGCTTAATATTGTAGTTTTTTTCAATATTTATACAAATACTATATAATTTAAAAAAATATAATTTTCTTTAAATCCCACATTGTTCAAGAAAAATTATCAAATGTTTCAGAAATGCGCATTTCATTTTTTTTATGCAATCACAAACCAGGTAAAACGAATAATATTTGAAAACAAAATATTGATCAGATAATTTTGAAATTCGATGTTGAAGATTTTTAAAATTTCGTAATAGCATTCTCAAATAAAGCTAATTTTGTCTGAGATTATATTCTTTATTCAATTTCACTTACTGTTACAAAATTTGAAATCTGAAAATCTGTTTACACTAATATTCTAAAAACTGTTTAAAGCTTAATAAATTAAAAATTATTGATGTTTCCTAAAACATTTTAAAAGTTGAGGAAAAATTGATTCTAAATTGATCAAAGAATCCGTAAAGAAAAAATGCTTTGATAGTTGTGAGATATTTCATATAGCTTTCTGACAGAAATAGTCACGGTTGACAGGTTCATGTAATTCACACTATCTGTAATCTACGCCGAAAATCTGATCGTGTTATCGTCGGTGACATCCGCTATACACGCTGTCGATGGGCTCTCGATCGCGGCGTCGGAACTTGCGTTAGAAAAACGAACGCGCGCGACGGCTCGTAGCCCCGCGGCTACACTGATTGCGGCGGACCCTACGATCCGTAGAGACCCGAGAACGTCTGGTCTCCCTGGCCGGAACCCTCGTCCAAGGCCGTACCCGCTTCCCAATCAGAGGCGAAATCAAATTGTTTAACACAGCGGACACCGACTGCTATTTAAAGGTAGCATCTGCCCCATGGGGCTCGCTACATTCCGACGCGACAGCGTGTCGAAAATGTTGTCGCTGTGGGGGATCTCGATTGTATCGATTCTCGCAAATCATTATCGATATTGGCCAAAACAGAAATGAGAATATGAATATATTTTTTATTATTCAACCTGTTATATAATTTTTTTGTAAAGTTAGAATATACACTAGCTTGATGAAAACAAACTAGTTTAGTAAAAGTAGATCATAATTAGCGAGTTGGTAAGTTTGGGAATATATGATAAAATAACAGCTACATAAGGATTCAATAATAACAGCAATAGACTCAGAGTACTAACAATTAAGTGAGAAAATTGAGAATTAAAACCCAAGGTGCGGATATTGATGCGCAAACTTATTATTGTTAAATTTTAATAATAAATGTGTATTAAAAATGTACGTTTCGGATTGTTTCCTGGTCCATCTTCAGCATAAATATATAAAGATTACATCGGTATTTTAAAACTTGACATACACAATATTTATCGTTGCAATCAAATTTTAAATTGAAATCGATAATTAAAAAGGAAGATTAACTAAGCGTAGAATTTGTACAAATTAATGAACAACGTCTAAACGTCATCGCCACGTATAGTCTTTCTTTCTGATTATCGATTTTAATTTGAAATTTGACTGCAACAATAAATATCGTGTATGTCAAGTTTTAAAATACCAATGTAATCTTTATATATTTATATCTATGCTAAAGCTGGACCAAAAAACGGTCCGTAACGTACATTTTTAATACACATTTATTACTAAAATTTCGCAATAATAAATTCGCGAACCAATACCCGCGCTTTGGCTCTTATTTGCCAGTTTTCCCATTTAATTGTACATAAGAATATTTTAATTTAACAATTGAAAAACTTTATAAAGACTAATTTTTAATTTCTATTTTCATAAAATTTATATCACATGCAATATTTGCAATATAATGCATTTATAAAAAAAAAATAGAGCAGCGTATAAATAATTAATAAAGTCATGTCAACAAATGATTTCAGTCTCGAAATATTGTTGAATCGCAAATAAAAAAAAAGATTAGTTGGAAAAATATAAATAAAATGCGCGTTGATGCGTGCTAATGGCGTAAGTAGTCTTCGAGCCAATTTGGAAACAATTGCAATTCCATGAGTTTTCGAAGAGCCAGCCGACTGACCTTTGCGGACTATCGCCTGCGAGCATATAACGAGCCGAAATTAAGGGGCATTGTGCCCTTAAACAGATTGCACACGTCCGTGCGTGAACGTGACCGTCGGGCCTCGCACGAGGAAAGGGAATTCGTATGATAAGGCGAGGAGAGGAGATCTACGCTATGGGACGACGGTGACGAAACGAGAACAGGGAGAGAGAAACGTACACGTAGCACTCAACCCCGTGTGTTTGCCTACACGGAAATCCTCTCTAACGGATTCTAACGCTCGACCGAGTTTGCGCTTTTTCATCTTCGGCATTCGGACCGATGACTTCTGCCGTGTCTCTTCTCCCGCGATCAGAATTTTCTCTCTCCGCCGTATATATGTGCACGAGTTCGGAAATCATCTAATGTCTCTTTCAATAGATAATTATATGTCTCGAAAAATTCGTAGATGATAGAGAATGCAATAAATTACATTGCGTAATGTAATTCTTTATTTTATCTTAAAAATATGTCTGGGTGATATTATTTATTCCACAATTTTTTAGAATTACTCATTAATTTTCTAAATATATATATTTTATCCTATAAAATTTTGATGAAGAGTAACGCATAGATGTGAAACATTCTGTTTCAGGCTATGGAAGCAGCTTATCAAAGACAGCATTGGACACGCACAGCCATCTCAGGCAGCCTGGTATGTAGTAGGTAGATATTTTTGAGAAGTTAAAGTGCTATCCTCTCATGCTACCCTATCTGATTTCGCTTCTAGTTTAATATTCAAAATAGATTCTAATCAAAGGTATATATTACTTTGTCGATAAATCAGTTTAATTAAAAAATAGTTTTGCAGATATATTGTGTTATATAACGAAATCACATATTAATAGAAAAATGTTGTATATTGCTAAAAATATATGATGTTATATCTACGATTTTGTCTACAATATCGCGCATCTGAAGACCAAATGTGTGACAAAATGCTTATTAAATTGTGACCAGTAAAAATATCATTTCCCAAAGTTCAAAAAGGAACAAAATAATATGATAAGAGATAAAATCATGAATACAAATATTATTATATGTATATTTATATTTGACCATTATTTGTTGAATTAAAGAAATAACTGATTTTTATATTGATACCGTATAAAAGTATAGAAGCAAGATTCTCATGCCTATTTAGATGCATGGTATATTATAAATAATTTTATTCGCAAATTTGTTAATTAAATAAAAGTCAATAAATTCGAATATATATATATTTCCTAAACAAAATTTAATAAAGAATAATAATACGTTTTTAAAATATGAGATTTTTTAATTAAATTGCTATAAAACATTCATATTATGAATGCATTAGGTGAATGTAATACTGGGTAGTATAAAGTCTATTTTAGATGATATATTATTCGGGATTGAATTCTAGACAGAATTCTATTCATAATTTTATATGAATAATGTGCATAAATATAATTAATACCATATCATTGCACGTGCCTCACAATTTGTATTTGTAAAATTAGAAAGAAAACATTCTAGCTTTATAAATAATATAGATAAAACATTTGATTTGACAAATGTTTTCTATATTGCACGAGGTATCAATGAAATTATACGTAAAATATTATTCCGAATTATGAATTGTAAATCTAAAAAAGTGAAAACCGGGGTTCACTTACATGATAGTTGAACAAGGTCACTGTTACTTCGCGCTTCATCGATTCCTCAGAGTCTCGGGCCGCGACGAGAAAAGAGACTGGAACCCTTGGGCGTAGTCGCATCTCAGTATTTCTCCCAGTCGGTTCCCTCGTTCCCGGCAGATAAATGGGTGTACCGCGCCCCTTCCCATTATTAACTTGTAAGTGAATTACTGTTCGATCGAAAGGCGATCACTACGGCACGCATTCAGCGGATTCATCGGGCGAAACGACCTTTGAGGTCCGGCAATTCGGAATCCGTCCCCATCATCCGCGTCTGTCCCCTCTCTCATAATCGCTCGACTTGTATTTTTATGGGGTCCGTCTTGGAGTTCTTGTGTCGGGACTCTTCTTTCAGATTGTGAAAGTCATTAAATTGGGACATTTTGGCCCTCTTCGTTATAAAGTCCGTTACATTTCTCCTTCGCGCAAAATTGAGGCAACTTCGTGCACATTAATTAGATTCATTGTTAATGCAAATTTTCCGACCGTCGAGAGTTTCTTGTTAGCTGTAAGTTAAAAAAAAATCTTCCTATTCTCTCTATACTTGTATTTATTAACAAAGCAGAAAATATATAAAAATATAATATAATGTAATTCTAAAAACACATAATTTTTGTAAAGGGTACTTTTTTTGTTATTGTTTCACTCAGTGCTTTAAAGAATAATAATTGTCATGAATAGATAAATTTTGCAAAAGGGGAAAATTGGCTTTTACGGTTTCTAATCTATTGTATTTTTTTCTGACATTGCATTTCTATCACGATAAAAGAAATCGATATTTTGAATTGCACGACTTCGAAGGTTTAGAAGACATTCGTTTCACCCTTTGAGCCACTCCGTCAGTAGTTTCTCAAATTGAAATTATTATGATCCAAATGAATTCTATTCTATTGTAGGGTTGCGATTATGTTCTTTTGTAAGTCTGTAGGGCCCTCCACGTCTGAGCGGCGGTGAGCGTCGGTGATGACGCATTGTAAAGCTTTTAAAGGGCGATACAGAGACCCTTGAAAAACAACCATGTAATGGATAGGTATATTCTACGTGAAACTGCGAAAAATTTCATCGTTTCCTCTCACTTGCAATATGAAAACAAATGTTTATTGGAACAGATCGCACACATAGTTCGCCAAATGCTTTAATCGTAATGAACGAAATATCACAGAAGGGAGCAACAAAATAAGATCAAGTTTCAATGGTGATTAAATTCAGCTCCATTATACATATGTATAACGCGTATTTGTAATTTGTAATTTCGAAGAATCTTGCATTTCTTTATTTATTATTGTGCAATATGATATAAAATGGCTATTGCAAAAACTTGTACAATAAAAATTCTGTATTAAAGAATACAGATATTTTTGACGCCGATATGTCATATTTGATCGCGCAGATATAACAGAATCGTGAGAGAAATATATTTTCCACATATGTTAATTAAGTAATGTAATAATATAATGTAAGGGCTGTAACGAGAAGAGTATTGAATTTATTGTGGCCAGCAGATCCTTATCAAATGTTCGGGGCGACGAGCAGTCGACTCGCGAGCTCCGGTTCCGGTCAGATTCAACTCTGGCAGTTTCTACTCGAGCTTCTGTCGGACTCGAGTAATGCCGCGTGCATCACATGGGAAGGAACTAACGGCGAATTCAAGTTGACCGATCCCGACGAGGTAGCGAGACGATGGGGCGAGAGGAAGTCTAAGCCTAATATGAATTACGACAAATTATCGAGGGCTCTAAGGTGAGTCTTTGCTTTCTTCCGCCGTCAAGCTCGCGTTCACGATCGCGACGCGACGCATTTTTTTTAGAAACGTCAAATGGAAAAGCCATTAACGAGCTATCATTTATGTTTTGACGAAGTTTCGGGGAGAAAGTAAATTCGTTCGGTATATGTACGGTTGGGTGTTCCACGCGCGCGTGTATGTGTCGGTGTCGTCGGAGGGGGGTGACGAACGGGGGAGAAATTTCAATCACCGACAGTCAAACCGATGGTAGACGCGGCTATTATTTTTCCATCAGATCCACTGATTATATTACGCGATTGCTCTTTTTGACGTCCCTTCGTTCACCGTGTAAGAACTACTAAACGGACGAATGGACTCGTTTTTTAACATCGGAGTTGAAGATGTTGAGTCTAGAATTCAGTCTTTTTTAATGCGGAATGCTTTCGTATATACATATATATATATATATATATATAACAAAATGTAGAAAAGAATGGAGACTATATAATTGATTAATAAAAGTGTTATCTCTAAAATATAATCTATTGAAGTTTATATTTAAATCGGGCACGAACTTATGCAATCACCTGATACTTTACACAATTTATTGCCATATACTTTATATTAATTGATTTTATTAAAATTGGAACATGATTTCGAAAATGAAAAATATGACTTTATTTTATTTTAATGAACACATTTTCAAGTCATAATAACAATTAGTTTTGATCATCTCAATTAAAAAATTTTTATGATAAAAAATTGTATGATTTTCATTTTCAATAGCAGATTTATTTAGTCGTATGTGATGATATTAAGACTCTAAGATTCGTGGTACGCAGATACATATGTAACTTCTTGACGGTCTCAATTTTTTTCTTCAAAATTTATGTTAGTTATTTTTTTAATATTATATGTAATAACTAATTATATTTTTTATGTATCAAATTAAACTGTTTTTGACAAGAGCTCGTAGAAATATTAAATTCTAGAAATGTAAATCCGGTCATTGCTCATCATGGAGGGAAATCAGAACGGAGGATCGATTTGCTTGCAGGTATTATTACGACAAGAACATCATGACGAAGGTGCACGGCAAGAGGTACGCGTACAAGTTCGATTTCCAGGGATTGGCGGCAGCGACGCAGCCGGCGGCGGCCGATCCGGCGGCGTACAAGTACCAGAGCGAGTTGTTCATGTCCGGTTACGGTCATGCCAAACTGAACCTGATGCCGCCGCCGGCGGCGTCGGTTTCGGTTTCCGTTCCCGGCGGCCTCTTTCAATCGGCGTCGAGCTACTGGTCGACGAGCCCGGGCGCCAACTTGTATGCCGGCCATCACACGGCCTCCGGACACGTGCCACCTCATCTCGGCACCTATCCGCATTACGCATGACCCGCCGCCGAGCACTGGGGTGCCCTGGGCACGCCGCGTTGAAACGTTTCTATCGAAAGAGTACGAGCCGTTGCTGCCACGTTGTCGACGACAACGTGTGTAATCGTAAATTACACAGTCTTTTATTCCCCCTGGCCCCCCCGGAGGCTGGGACCGCACATTGCTTCAGGTATTTGCACGAATCTGTCCATTTCGCGTATATTCGCTTATAGTATTGTCTTCTTTTAATGAATTTTTCAAGCAATCATTACATTTTTAACGAGTGCGAATGATAATGAAGAAATAGGCGATTTGACAAGTCCGTTTTCTTTTTTTTTCTTTTAAGCCTAATTCGTAGATTATTTATATCAAAAGGAAATACGTTTGCACCGACCAACACTGATGAATAGTTATGTATAACCGTAAGTTGTCACCGTCGATCACAAGTAGATAGCTTTATAATCGACGCGTAAGTAGTGAACGACAATCACGAAAGAATAAGGGAAAAGGATAAACATCCGTTCAGGGGACGACGCGCATACAAAATTTATTAATAGTATAATACTCTTTTTTTTTATTAGGAAACTAAATAAGATTTTTAATATTTCTGATAACAACAAATTAAAATTCTACTAAAAAAAATATTGAATAAAAAATTCAAAATAAAAAGGAATCTCTACTTGCTAAAATTTTCTTAATCTTGTGTTACATACTTATGATACAAATATCGACAGCGAAATAAACATAGTAGTCTTTTCAATTTTATCAGTAGCGTTATCCATATAGTGCAACTGCTTCTTTGCATTTCTTTGTTAAGTAATTAAAAGAAAGAAGAGATGAGTGTGTAAGAAATGTATATTTGTGTGTGAAACATTGACATTTAGAACGCGTTTGGACAGATTTAATATCTCTAAATCCGTACATGCGATACAGTCGCCCCAATATAGTGTGCAATACACCGTCGCAAATTTTTCGATGCAATACCTAAGCAACGCGTCGCAATCAGTGATCATTTATGCACCGCCTATATATAGAGGCGACGATTTTACGTAATGAGTACTTTACGGATTCTGATTCGCCGCGGCCGACGGGGTGCGCCCCCCAAAAAAAAAATTATTATTGTAAGAACATTGTACATATACAATATAATGCATTACGTTAGTACAGGGTGTGTGTGCGTTTGTGAGATAATTCTCGCATGAATCTTTTTACCGTTACCGTTGTGATGTCACAAGAGACACATCTCTCGAAAATGTCCTGACTCTTGTGCGTGTTTTTTTTTTGTTGATAAGTGAAACAAATTATAATAATTTTTTGCCAAATATCTATACCAAAGAAAATTAGTTCTTCTTTATAATTTACAAGTAACATATTAAGTGATAGACCATGTAATTTAACAAAACCTTGTTAGAAAAATCTTGTATTTCGCTAATATTATCTTTCGTTTCTTTGATATTCATTTTTCGTCTTATCTAGTCATGCACGTTTTATGCTTTTTTATCTAAGTGCGTATTTCACATGCAAGTTTCATTTTGCGAGGTTATTTTATTTTTGGAGAACAAAATAATAAATAACTGCACGACGGTAAAATGAATATGCGAAATCGTTTGGTCCAAAAGGAAACTCGTACACGAATAAGAAGTCGACAAAATTTCACGAGCATTGTCGGCGTTTATGATTGGATTGAATCGGGCATGTGTATGTATATTGAAATGAAAAACGCGTCATTCTTCACGTTTACGTAAGTATGCATCTCGATTTCGAACGAGGCCTCGTTCACTCGGAATGTACTCATGTTCGATTCACACCGAAGCTAATACCCCATGTATCATAAATTCTTTTAACTTATTTGTTATATATGAGAAATGGGTAGAGACGCTACATAGGAATGAATCGAGCGACGAGCGTGCGAGAAATGATTATCGAGCGCATATAATGTTTATACGGCTACGTATATTCGTCAACATATGTCGGTGGCTCACTTAAGCGTGATTCGCTCGTTCTTTTGACGTAATTTTACAACGAAACCGCGTTACCGTACACCCTCATCATCCGTCATCGTGAGATATGTAGACGATAATCACAAAAGTACAACGTTTAAGTCATATCAATCGACGGCACACGCAATCAGAATCGAACTTTTACGCCATCCTTTTTAGAATCACGTGAGATATGTGGCTGCTCTACCCATGCCGATATAAAGGATGGATTGCCGAAACCGAATTCCAGATTAGACGGGATATATAAACGCATTAAGTGTTATTCGGAGCAAAGATTGTCGTATTACATGAGTGCATAAATAACAATTGTTTCTAATCTAATCCCGAAAAAGAAAGAAGAAAAAGAGAAAGGAATCCTTCGAGATATATAATTTAGAAATAATTACATCAAATATATCAGAACATTGAATCTTTCGGTTTAATATTGAAAATATCATACCAGTTAGAAAAAGTTGTGCATATTGTGGATTTCTCAAGAAAGGAAAAAATATCATTTGATCAATCTCTCTGATATTACCTTCGGATATTACCTATTCGGAATCTACTGATAAAATAAATGCTCATAAATTATATTTTATTATCAATCTCGGGAACAAAACGATTTGAAAATCTATCTGTTGAACTGTCGTACGGTAATTAATTAAAGTCAGATAAAAACATAATATTTAGCGATAAGGAAAATATTTTCATTCGCAATGCATAGATCTATTTTATTTAATGCTTAATTTCTTGATCATTTTATCATTTTGAATCTATACTTTTTTGATATAATAATGTATGAATTGAAATAAAATTAGACAAAAAAATAAAAGTACAAATAAAGACTTTAAACATTCGAACAGATAAAGATGCAAAGTCTTCACTACATTTTAAATAAATTACACAAAGTAAAGCAAAAGAAGAATTTGTTAAACATATAGTATCCGGCATTATAAGCACATTAGGGGAAACGATGAACTCTCGATTTACAAGTTGATTAGATCACACAAACTGACAATATGCAAACTTTATCTGATTGGCATTGCAGGTTCTTTATCACTGATTTTTTTCCGACGTAAATAGTGTATAATACATTTAAAAGTTTCTGAAAACTAGAAACATTAAAGATAAAATAACGTCCGATCTACAACTTCGGAAAAATGGAAGGAAATACGATTTTTCTTTGCAAAGATGGTCAACACATTTTCTTCATCGATTTAACGGATGTCGGCAGTCTGTCCCCGAAAAAAAGGCGTACCTTGTGTCGAAAAGAAGCGTAACTCCTTAAGATGTGTATCATACTACTCATAAGTGAGACCTTAAGCATTCCTAGAGTAATTTTAAGCGATTAGCGCGGCCCTCGATGCGACCCGTGGGACCGATCGTGCGATCGGCACCGCGATGGGGAACGATGATTATCCAGCAGTTTCCGCATCGGTCCGGACGGGTCGTGAGCGTGAAGGGCGCTCATGTAGATAGGGTGTTTTCATGTGTAGCGTAGGCGTGTAGAAAATTTAGTCTTAGCGGGAGAATGCGCCGAAGAGAGGATGTCGAGAACGAGAGTGCGTTATGTGTATGTATGTATGTATGTATGTATGTATGTATGTATGTATGTATACAAGATTCGCGCACGTATGTACGAGCAGGCGTGATTTCGAGAATGGAGACGAATAATGATAATAACTATGATGACTATGATGACGATGACGACGACAGTGATGGATGAGTGGATGAACGAGGGATGTGTGTCTGGCACTAGCGTAGAACGCATTAGATTAGGTAGATAAGCGATCCTCCCTACATCCCCCTCTCGAAGACCGAAGGACACGGTTTCTCATCGTTAGAGTGATAACGGAACTGGAGAAGGCACAACGGAATAGAGATGAGAATCACGAGACTCGCGATCCGGGAAATCGGGGGAGCGCTGTTGTTGTTCTTGTTGTCGTGCGCTTGTATTAAAGTCGCCATGTTCTAATTAAACGTGCCGACGGGGTTGTATCAGTCGTTGGCAAAATCAATGTGGCTCCCATTTCTCTATACGCATTTACGTTTGCCTTCTTGATTGTATACCAAAGATACATTTATCTATCTAATCGAAGAGACAGAGAACGAACAAGGGTGAAGCAGAAAGCGATCGAAGAAGAAACCAACAAAAATGGAAAAAGGTTTTGCAACTTTTCTCTCCCTCCTCCCTTTATACCTTACGTGTGCGTAAACGCGTGTGTGTAAACGAAACCGGGAGGAAAAAAGAACGAGACAAAGCGAACGGCGCGGAGACACAAAGAACGAAGTTGCAGCGCGATGGAGGAGGAGGAGGAGGATGAGGAAGGGAAGGAAAGGGAAGAGGTATGCGGAGGCAAGATAGGAGAGAAAAATAAGCCGAGCAACGCACGGTAGGTCAGTCTTGGTTGCCGGTGGTTGGCGAATTGGTCGGGTTGCCATGGAGAAGAGGGCCGGGAGGGTGTTCTACGGGTTCGGCGAGGTCCGCCCCAACGGAAAACCTCCATTCGGGAAATTCGCGGCGTCGCCACGCCGAACCATGCCGCGGTACCGGAGGTTTAGCTCGGCTTGGCTAATCGATTCTGCTACCAATCAGCGCCCGCGCCGTTCCTCCACATTCTCTTCCACCTCGTTTTCTACCCCTTACACATTTTCTCTCTCTTTCTCTCTCTTCCTTCCACCTCCTCTCTCTCTCCCTCCCCCATCCCTCCTCTCTCTTTCTCTCTCTCTCTCGCGCGCACTCTTTTCGTGGCATTTTGTGCAGCACTAGCTACCACGATCATGACTGCTGCCGCCCGCTGCCACGAGCTCTACCTAGCACCTACGCCACCTCCATATCCATTTCTCCATCATCGACTCTACCTTCGTGTGTATCCTTCTTCGGCGCCGTTAGCGCTATCACACCGCCCTCCACTTATATAAAATACGCGCTCCTCCACTCGTATAAGCAAAAAACGCCTCCGCTCCGTATCTAACTTCTCGTGTATATTACTCGAACTAGAGACGCGTGTCTTACTCAAGGTTCGACGCGGATATTAATTGAATTGTTTGCGGGAACAATATTGCAACAAAACGTTATTCATTGCTTATACAAATTGAGCTTTAAAAAGATGAATAGTTATGTTTTACGCTTATTTAACTTTTATTACAAATTATAGAAAAAAGCAGCAACTGATATAGCTTGTGCGCCATTTTACACGCTAAGTGTGAAAGAAACTTTATAGTCCATCTTTTCCTTATTTATGAGAAAAATATTATTCTATAATAAAAGTGTGAAAAATATATATCAAAAGCGCACGCTAAAATCGGAAAATGTACATATCCATAACGTCTCACACACATAATTCGAGCTGAGCTTTTCAACTTATTGTTAGAGAAGCAAATTGAAGTTGTCCTCGCATACATGCGCCAAACAATATTTTTTAATTTTTAACGGCAGGTTCTTACGCTTAATCATTCCATTATATATGTCTCATTCTAGTATAATTAATAACATTTACTATTTAATTGTTCCTTTTTTAAATAAAAAGAAATGTGTATACAGGTGAGCAGTTGTTCGTCAGACTTTCCAGTGCATATTATTATAATTAACTATTAATACTCTTTTGTCTTGCAATCTTATCATTTATATAACCTTCTTTCTGCAAACTTTTTCTCTTTCTCTTTTAATCTTTGCTTCCCTTCTGCAGTTTTACTCTTTTTTTGCCAAATGAATCACTTTAATCTTTTTTAAACTTAGTAATATATAGGATGAGACTGGGACTGGACTGGACCAGAACCAGGATCCTTATTACCGGTTGCTAGGCAACTGCATTACGTGTGCTCCCCGCTTAAACCTAAACCTAAACTCGTACGTAATCTTAAACGTCAGTCAACGCACAGAGAAAATCGTAACGTAACAAAAGCATACTACGTTACGATTTTGTTTGTGCGTTGACTGAAGTTTAAGATTACATATGAATTTAGGTTTACAGTCAGTACTTAACGTAACGTAACGTGTTATGGAAAAGCTTGTGTGGTGGCCCTTTACCACAGATTAATAGACAGATAGCCAAAGGTCCGGATGAAGGCGAGACCGGCATTTCCGTGCAACACACTTTGCCC